ATCAATGTATTACAGTTAATGCAGATGTCTGTAGTGCACTGTCAGATATCACAGAAAATTATTTTTTGCACTTCATTTAAGTGGTGCTTTGTTGTGACAAATGCATTTTTAAAAGGTAAAAATATTTTGTTAATATATACAATACATTGAGTTGTCAAGTGAAATGAAAATTCACCCTATATATTTTCTAAATGTATGTTATTGATGTTTTTGTGAACGATTCATGCACGTTTTGTTTTTTTGTTTTGTTTTGCTTTTTGTGTTTTGGAGCTTGTAATTTATAATGAAAATGTCATAACTCCATCTTCTGGTGAAATATGCTATACTTTCTTCAATCATTTAGTCTGCATAAACTCTGCCCCCTGCACAATCGACTGCAAGCTCATGTTCAGATCTGCCTCCATCCAATCAATAACCGATGGATAGAACCAAGTCCCCGCACTACACTTTTTTCGATAATCTGTTCACTCTGATGCACGTCACAATACAGAAGAAAAAGATCTGTTGCTACTTTCGTTACTTTAAGATTTGAGATTAAAAGTCATCGTGGTTTTCCATTGTAAAAGAACTTCAGTTGTATTTAACCCTAAATAGTGCTTCAAAGAAACCAAACCACATTTTTGCAACTCAAGGGTTAAAAAGGACCTTAAAATTCATTGTCACCGTTTGGTTCTCACTCATCAATTATGTTGCATTTGCGTCTTTTTGTGTCTTCTTTGTATATGTCTCTCTCCTCTATCTGTTCTGTCACTTCTTAGCCGTGTGTATTGTTACTGTGGGCAACTAACCTCTGACCCCTGCTCTTGTGAGACTTTAGTATCTGGGTGCCAAAGGCCCATACGCTGGCATGTGGCCTCCGTGTCACCCTAACCTGAAAAAGAGACAGAGCCGAGGGGCTTGGGGAGCCAAGCGATGTCACCATGTCACATAGCAGCAAAAGTAGATTGTGGAGGTTTTGTGTGTGCACAGAAAGAGAGAGAAGAGGGGGAGTTTTGCTCCTTTCTCAGGAATGTCTAAACACAGCCCTGTGTTTGTAGTCAGCGCTGAAGTGTGTGTGTGTGTGTGTGTGTATGAGGTGGAAGGGGGTTGCGTTTGATCTGTTTTAATCCCCTCTGAAGTTTAACCACTCATTTCCCAGCACGGCGAGCACTCGTATCCTCCGGAGCACTCACTATAGAAACCTGTCCGCCAGGATGCTGATGAAAAAAGGTCTAAAAACAAGAGTGCCGCCCAGTTGATGTAACAGCATCTTGGAGTGTGAGAAGGGGCCATCAGATTTTCTCATAAATGGAAAGACAGCTAGTAAAGCGGTTGGCATGTGTCTTTGTGGCAGGGTGCTGTCACACATAGTTGAAACTATAGGCCCTCCTGCTGCTGAGCTGCATGTTAAAGCCTTCTTACCCAGACCTCCCAGCTCCTGGCTAAAAACCTCTTTATTTCACATGAAAGAAATGCTGGGAGGTTTCTCACTCACTCTATCCTTCCCGTACCCCCATCAACACTGCATTTGTAGTTGTGTAGTTGTTTTCCTTTTCTCTATTCTCAAGCATGCATAAAAACTTCTTATGTGACATATTGCCTTCATTCTTCTTTTTTTTTTATCCCTTTTTTCCATTTAAAAAAAA